CTTAAGAAGAATAAGAATATATATATATATATATATATATATCAATTATAATGATTAACAATAAGAACATAATATGAGGTAAAGAAAGAAAAAGATTTATAATCTATTAAAGTTAACTTTCCTTTTAAATTCAAAATTTCCTTTTTATGAATAAATTAGAGTTTTAATATTTAACATCGTGAACGTTTCTTTTTAACCCGACCTCCTTCCTGTCGCACGAAATCGCACGAGGTCCCGTCCCGGGTAATAAGGATTCAGTTCCTTTACCAGAAAAGGGACCGCCGAGCGAACGGCCTTTTCGATAGAGTAAGAGCGACCCTTAAGGTCGTTGACCTATCTGGGGCCCTGGTCTGTTCACTCGACCCTAGGACACGCATCGTCTAGCGTGTGCCTAAGAGAAAACTAGGTTACGTCCTCCAGCTGACTTTCCTTTCATTCGAGTCTGGACGTAACAATACTATACTCACAATAGATTTCAGTTTGAAACATTCAATTTGATATACATATATTTGTTATGGTATATATATGTTATGATATACAATTTGTTATATATTGTTCGAAACCGAACTCAGTATAATTCACTATAGCAATTATTATCCGATAATGAGCGCTATTGCAAAGCGCGGCTAAGCGCGCTCGAAAATTGGCGCGGTAGCGGCCATCTCGCGCGGAACACGGCGCGCCGCAAATCAGAGCGCGTATTCTCAGACTCGATACACGAATCGCGCCAGGCCCGCGGCAACGCTCGTGCCGTTCGAAACGGGCCACGCAGCGGTCACCCGGGAGAGCCTAAATCACAATTAAATACAAATAACAAACGTCTATTTTTCCAAATCATCGAAAACAACTACCGGCTCGATCTTGCGCGAAAAACATGTCGAATGTTCTAGAACAGTGCTCGGAGATAGTTGCCCTTTTCGGGCCGATTTCGTGGCTCACGCCTATTGCCCCCCACTCACCGCTCGTGCGTTAGCGACGAGTCGCCAGATACGCGTAACTAAGGAGCGCGACGCTTTGTCTCAGGAGCGTCCGTATATAAGAATGTCCAAATATAATAGTAAGACAATACTTTTCTAAATGCACGGCGAAAATTCTCAAAATTAAAAGTTTTATTTCAATATTTTATATTTCATTGATATAAAATATTGAAGAAAAACTTTTATTTATAGAAAAGTATTGTCTTATTATTATATTTGGGCATTCTTATATACGGACGCTCCTGAGACAAAGCGTCGCGCTCCTTAGTTACGCGTATCTGGCGACTCGTCGCTAACGCACGAGCGGTGAGTGGGGAGCAATAGGCGTGAGCCACGGAATCGGGCCGAAATGTGCAACTAAATCCGAGCACTGTTCTAGATTATCTGCATAATATGTCATGTATATCTGTTTTTAGAAAAACAATAAACATAAAATTCATATGTTTAACTATTTTTAGAAAAATACACAGATTATATTCCGTACACTTTTTACGAGCATAGATTTTGACGAATATCCTAATAATGACGATCTTACTAAATGTTTGAAGCAAGAGGCCGCAAAATGGGCATGTATTTTTGATTTGGAAGAATGCATAAAAGCCTCCAATTATAATTTGATGAGGCACATCGAAAATCCTTTAGAATACAAGTAATTTTTCTTATAATCATGGCTATTTGAGATAACATTTTTTGAATATCTCATGCTGAAATTTTTCTAAATTATTTAATACTTTTTTTTTAGAATTTTGCCGTGGTGGAAGGAATGGACATATTGTCACGGTATGGGTGCGAGTTACGAAATGTGGACAAAAGTATTACAGTTTTGGCAAAAGACATCTGATCCAAAGGAATCTAGTAAAATTTTAAAATTCTTGGTTTGCACTAAAAATAAAAAGGCGATCAAATCGATGTTAACTAAGGAAAAAAATATCTTTTCAAATTTACAAGTTAAAGACCATATTAAGATTTTTTCTTTAACTGTTGCAAAGCATGTAAAAAAGAATAAAGTGCTTGACTATGTATTATCTAATTTTAAAGAAGTGAAACCCAGGTAGAATGGCATTCTTTAATATATACTGTTTATAATCATGAAAGTTTATATTATATGTATTTATTACAAATCTGTTGTTTTATTTGCATAGAGAGATCAGTACAGTTGCAGCATTAATTAATATTATTAATCATGTCTACTCTAAGGCACAACTTGAAAAGGTAAATTTTATAAATCTAAGTAAAACACATATGTTTATCTATCAATCATTTCTTATAATCAAATGTACTTGCGCCTATTATATTTCATATATATATATATATATATATACACATAAATCTTCTTTAATTATGTAAAAAAATATGTGATATATGAAAAGCTATAATAATTATGGTCTATCAGTCACGCGAGAATATCATTGCGAATGCCATTTTTTATCGTGCATAATGCCAAAATAATTTGTTTTAGATAAATACATTTGTGCATAAAAATCTGGAAGAATTAATTGAGATTGTTAAGAAGAAAATAATAATACGTTGGTTACAAATTAAAAATATATACACTTATTATCTGATGTTTTCATGATTGGACAAAATAAAATGGGAATGACCAACTAATACAAGTTGATGAAGGGTAACACAATTGTAACAGTTGCACATATTATGAATAAGTTTTTATATCATTTCTTTAGTTTTGTTTTTATATATTATTTCTCTTTGTTACGTTCTTTTTCTCTAATTATATTTAATATTTTTATTATTATTGTTAGAATATTAGTAATTTTAATATTAAATATGTATAATATTTTTTAAAATTGTTTTTTTTATATATTATTATATTAATATTTATTATTAATCTTTTTAATAATAATAATGACCAATATATATAATAGTTAATATTAATTTTTTGAAAAAATCGTTAGAATTAATTTTACTATTCTTAATATGTTATTAATATTTTTAATATTAGTACATTTTTGTAGTAATATTAAAATTCATTTAATAAAATGTTTACACATTTATTTTTGCATGCAAATATTTGTTGATTATTAATGTATTAGATAAGTAAAATTTGTAATATAATTTTTTAGTCTTATTTTTTGCAATAGATTTGTGTAGTAATATTGTATTTTTGTAAATTTTTTGATATAGCTATAATGATGATCTTATTACTTATATGTATATACATATATATGTATATATAGATATTATTTAATAATAAAATTACAATTGCTAAAAATTAAATAAACAATATTTTTAGAATATATAAAAATATTTTTAAATTTAATAAACTTTTTTATATAGCCGTAATGACGATCTCATTACTTATACATATAGCTATTATCTAATAATGAAATTTTAATTGCCAAATAAACAGTATTTTTAGAATACATAAAAATATTTTTGTTTAATAATATATATATCTTTTTCTATCTTATTGTTACAATACACACACATACACATTTATATTGTTGCGTCCGCTGGTTCGAGATAAATTGAAGCGCACTATTCAATTTAACGCTCGCAAATCGCATCACTTTCGCACCCGAGCAAATAATAGAACACTCGTTTAAGAAATAAAAATAACTTTATTGGAACAACAACACAATAATGTAATATCGCGATATCCGAACGTAAATACCGAACGTAAAAATATCCGAAAGTAAAAGACGGAGCTGTCTCAAACACGGTACTGCTACACAGCTACTCAAAGTCTGACATGACTGGCGCTATTTGTCAACATCCCACAACGCTCTTGGAGACTATTCTTCTCTATGATCTCGTTTCAGATCGATCGCCTTTAACGCGACCATGTACAAATATGCACGCAGGGACGTAACATTGCTCCCCCTCTTCTATTGTCGTCCCGACAATCAATGCAGGAGGATAACAAGAAAATCCTAAGTTTCTTCAAAATATCAATTCCAAAGTTTTTAGTGTGACTTCCTGATCCCGAACTGCTGTTCAGGTTACCGAACTGCATGCCTTTCCAAAATATCAGTTCCAGGGTTTTCGGTGTGACTTCCTGTTCTACCCCGAATTGCTGCTCAGGTTATCGAACTGCACGCCGACTACACTCTATTGCTCCTTCTAGAAACTGGAAAACTGGAAAAATCTTCAGACAGCAGGGAGGTATTTTCCGTGAACCCAACGTCCTAAAAGGACTCCTCAAGTCTCTACGTTGGCATTCGCCCTACAATCCGATGGGAAAACCACGGATCAAAAACCGAGGCAGTCTTCTGAGATCAGGAGTTTCTCTATACTTTTCTTTCTAGCTCCTCTTCACGTCCGTTATCCTCTAACCGCCTTTCCTTTAAGAAGAAAATTAACTTATAGAAATAAACAATTTTAATTAATACTATACTTTTAAATATATACTTTTAAATAAGCACATATTATGAATAAGTTTTTATATCATTTCTTTAGTTTTGTTTTTATATATTATTTCTCTTTGTTACGTTCTTTTTCTCTAATTATATTTAATATTTTTATTATTATTGTTAGAATATTAGTAATTTTAATATTAAATATGTATAATATTTTTTAAAATTGTTTTTTTTATATATTATTATATTAATATTTATTATTAATCTTTTTAATAATAATAATGACCAATATATATAATAGTTAATATTAATTTTTTGAAAAAATCGTTAGAATTAATTTTACTATTCTTAATATGTTATTAATATTTTTAATATTAGTACATTTTTGTAGTAATATTAAAATTCATTTAATAAAATGTTTACACATTTATTTTTGCATGCAAATATTTGTTCATTATTAATGTATTAGATAAGTAAAATTTGTAATATAATTTTTTAGTCTTATTTTTTGCAATAGATTTGTGTAGCAATATTGTATTTTTGTAAATTTTTTGATATAGCTATAATGATGATCTTATTACTTATATGTATATACATATATATGTATATATAGATATTATTTAATAATAAAATTACAATTGCTAAAAATTAAATAAACAATATTTTTAGAATATATAAAAATATTTTTAAATTTAATAAACTTTTTTATATAGCCGTAATGACGATCTCATTACTTATACATATAGCTATTATCTAATAATGAAATTTTAATTGCCAAATAAACAGTATTTTTAGAATACATAAAAATATTTTTGTTTAATAATATATATATATCTTTTTCTATCTTATTGTTACAATACACACACATACACATTTATATTGTTGCGTCCGCTGGTTCGAGATAAATTGAAGCGCACTATTCAATTTAACGCTCGCAAATCGCATCACTTTCGCACCCGAGCAAATAATAGAACACTCGTTTAAGAAATAAAAATAACTTTATTGGAACAACAACACAATAATGTAATATCGCGATATCCAAACGTAAATACCGAACGTAAAAATATCCGAAAGTAAAAGACGGAGCTGTCTCAAACACGGTACTGCTACACAGCTACTCAAAGTCTGACATGACTGGCGCTATTTGTCAACATCCCACAACGCTCTTGGAGACTATTCTTCTCTATGATCTCGTTTCAGATCGATCGCCTTTAACGCGACCATGTACAAATATGCACGCAGGGACGTAACATTGCTCCCCCTCTTCTATTGTCGTCCCGACAATCAATGCAGGAGGATAACAAGAAAATCCTAAGTTTCTTCAAAATATCAATTCCAAAGTTTTTAGTGTGACTTCCTGATCCCGAACTGCTGTTCAGGTTACCGAACTGCATGCCTTTCCAAAATATCAGTTCCAGGGTTTTCGGTGTGACTTCCTGTTCTACCCCGAATTGCTGCTCAGGTTATCGAACTGCACGCCGACTACACTCTATTGCTCCTTCTAGAAACTGGAAAACTGGAAAAATCTTCAGACAGCAGGGAGGTATTTTCCGTGAACCCAACGTCCTAAAAGGACTCCTCAAGTCTCTACGTTGGCATTCGCCCTACAATCCGATGGGAAAACCACGGATCAAAAACCGAGGCAGTCTTCTGAGATCAGGAGTTTCTCTATACTTTTCTTTCTAGCTCCTCTTCACGTCCGTTATCCTCTAACCGCCTTTCCTTTAAGAAGAAAATTAACTTATAGAAATAAACAATTTTAATGAATACTATACTTTTAAATAAACACTTTTAAATAAATTATAAGTTATAACGGAATTTAAATATGATTTCCATTCTGATTAAGAACACTATTATTCTAAATGTCTTTAATGTAATTTAATTCAAATTTTAAATGTAATTTAATAAAACGAAGCTAACCTGTCTGCATGTACTACCTTTTTCCTATGTCTGTGCGATTTCCGAATACAATAAACCACATCACTTAATTTTTTAATCACTTCATAAGGTTTTTAATAAGTTTGTAATTTCGGAGCTTTGCCCCTTTTACGCCGAGGATTATAAAATCAAACCTTTTGATCAATCGTAAAATCGACTTTCCTAGCCTTCCGATCATAGGCAGATTTTACTTTTTCTGATTTGATATTAACTGATTCACGAACAGCTTCATGAATTATATCCAACTTTTTCCTCAAATCCAAAATGTAATCTTTGTTAGATAAATTACTTTTTTCCTTAGGAGGATTTCCCCGCAACAAATCCAAAGATAAACGCAAATTCCGAGCAAAATAAACCACCGAAAAAAAA